GACTTTGATTTCCTTGTGGTCTCCCATTCTGGGTATCTACAGTTGGAATCCAATTCCCTTGAGCCTCTGTCCCTTGGACACTGGCTCTTTCATTATGCTTCTTGTAGCATGGTGCTGAGGATGGAGCCCAGGGCCCTCGGGGAGCATCATGGGCACCTGCTACTGAGATCATCCCCAGCTCCAGCCTGGTCCTCACCACTCCCCCACCCCTATTCCCACTTTGGGTGCATGTGAGCCTGGTGTGCTGAGCTTTTGAAATCAGCAAAGATGGAGGAGGAAGAGGAAGAGAAGGAAGAGGAGGAAGAGAGGGAGGAAGAAGAAGAAGAGGAAAAGGAAGAGGAAAAAGGAAGAAGAGGAAGAAGAGGAGCAAGAAGAGGAGGAGGTGGCCCTTTAGGTGGTATGTTCTACTGGTTCCTCACCCAGGCCCTAGGAGGATGAGTTAGACTCTCCATCTGGATTTATCACCCAACAGCTGCCAAGGAGACAAAGAACTGTCTCTTAGATGCCACAGTCTCTGTCCCAGGTGCCTTTCACTGTTCTTTTCTCCCACTGGCAGAGGTTTTGAATCTCTGATCCCCCCCCCCCCGCCTCCACCTCTCAAGCATGTGCTCGCTCCCCCGGGTTGCCTTGAGTTTGGGTAGAGAGGATGGATTGCACAGGACTTTGATATCCTTGTGGTCTCCCATTCTGGGTGAGTGTAGGAAGGCTCCACCATGCTCAGTTAAAGCCATGCTGAGGGTGGAACCCAGCCTGGCTGCAGGGGCCTCAATGTCAAAGGCACCCGTAACATGTGTGACAGCTGTGCCCTTCCCAGTGTGCCTTCTGGGTCTTCCTACTCTCCTGTGTCCCCAGGAGTCATGTGCAGGGCTGAAGGGGGCTGGCTTATGGCCCAGGTTACCCACACAGATGCTGCAGTGCTCAACTTTCTCTTTGTGTCAGAGCTTGGCAGCCGTTGGGGGATTTCTGGAAGGAGGGTGGGGGAGCCAGGAAGGAAAGCTCTGTGGGATCCGGTGTTTCCCCAGAAGCCTGAGTACAAAGAAAGGATGGAGGGGAACTCTGCCCACGAGGTTGTTTTTTCCCTTTAGAAAGAGCCAGCCTGGATCAGAAAGGGGAGGGCCAACGCTCTTCAACTTCAAGGGTTCACGCTAGTCAGATTCAAAATGGTGCATGTTTCAGAAGCAGGGAGCCTAGGGTGGAGGCAGGAGGGGTTCTGCAAGCATGAAGTAGTCAGGTGGTGGCTCCCCTGGTAGAAGGATGGACCTGGACTGCTACACAGAGAGAAAGCTCAGAGAGGTGACGTGGTTGGCTTTGGGTCACACGGCATGTGTTGACAGCTATTTCTTTATTCACTTGTGTCAGTGTGTGTGTGTGTGTGTATGTGTGTGTGTACATGAGTGTTTGAGCATGTGTGTGCTCACGAGGATTCAAGTTTGAGGACAGCCTCAGCTGTCATTCCTCAGCTGTGTGCCTCCATGTGTATATGTGCAGACACAGGAGCATGAATATATAGGAAGAAAGCCACAGGTTTTCTGGAACTGGAGTTACAGACAATTGTGAGCCACCACCTAGGTGCTAAGAACTGAACGCAGGTCCTCTGCAAGAGCAGCCAGTGCTCTTAACCTCTGAGCCACCTCTCTAGCCACAGCCCACCTTGTTTTTGAGACACTGACACCTAGAACTCACCAAGTAGGCTAATAAGCCCCAAGAATTCCCCCTTTTCTGCCTCCCCAGTACACGAATCACAAATGTATGCCAACACACTAAGGTTTTTTCTTCTTTTTAAATATGGGTCCTGAGGGTTGAACTCAAGTCCCCGTTTTTAAGGCAGAACTTTATCAAAGCTACCCCTGCCAACTACTACTATCCTTGAGAGCTATTACCTCAAGCCAAGTGGCTTCAAAATCACAGTAAGCCACTCCCTCAATAGGAGAAGCAGCAGGCTTATCCAGTTGCGTTCTAGATCATTCCAAGCCCTCCTTCATCAGAATGTACTCTCCTTGTTCTCCCAATCACACCCTATGAGTTGTTGAGTCATGGGGAAGTTCGGCTTCTGGGCAGCACACATGAGGGGCAGGGACTTCAGAAGTGCCCTTAAGAGAGTGGCACACAGTTACCTCCTCTGCCTTTGGGCTCCCACAGAGGAAACCCCACAGAAGCCTTGGTCAGAACCAGAATGGGAGCAGCAACAATGCCAGTATACATAGCTGGGAACAAAGTAGTGGCTAAATGGTCCTTGTATCCACCACCACCACAGTCCTGCAGCAATGTGGTACAGACCACGACAGGGAGCAAAGATGCTGACTGCTGTTTCCCACCAGGGAAGGCCCAAGGGCTGGGGTCGTGTGGTGGGAAGAGCCCTCATCGCTGGCTCTGCTCCCCTCCTCCTCCTCCCTGGAAGGACCCATTCTGTTCAGTGTTACCTAGCGCCCTGGGGGAGAAAACGATCCATCAAACAGCACTGAAGATATAGTTCTCAACAAACACTTCTGAAGGAGGAGTGCCTAGAACCTTCTTTCCATGCCACCAGCAGATTAAATGGATCCCATAGGGTCCTACTGGGCATCACATACTCTTGCTGCTGAGACCCTGAGGAGGAAGCATAGAGAACAAGGGCTCACCTGATACTCGGCATGAGCCTCAGTACCCTTTCCATAGCAGGGCACATATCCTGTCTGAGAGTCCCTGCACAGAGTCCTGTCTCTGTGTCTGTCACTCTCTGATGGAGCCTGGTCTGTCTAGAACTCGAACAAGGCTCTGATGATGGAGACCCAGTGGGACCCATGCCTTCCAGAGATAGAGCATGAGTCAGCCCTTCAGACAGCCCAGCGCATCCTGTGTGGAAGGGAAAGGAACAGCAGTAACACACTCCAGGGAAGGTGGGCCATAGCCTGGGAGGCCACATGGGGTGGGAGAGGCAAGGCCAGGGAAATTCTGTGACCTGTCTGTGACCTAATTCTTGACTCTGTCTCCTGAACCATTTCTTTCATGCATGGACAGATTACCATCTAAGCCTACGTCTGATCATTGGGGTTTTCCTGAGGAGGAAATCTAGACATGCTGCAGGCTTCATGGTGGCCTCTGCTGCCCCTCACTGTGGAAGTCCACATTTGCGTTTGCCTCACCAACTCAGTGTGTAACCTCACTTAAACCTGTGTACCTACAGCTCAGAGGTATTGCTCCTACGGGCTAGCTGGGATCAGAGGTGCACGGAGGCTGAGTGACTTCCTAATCAAGTGACTGCAGGCTACATGGAGGAATTCTCCTTCAGCCCACACTTCCCGACTCTGTCAGGCTACAGTGTGATTCTCCCAGGTTATGAACTCTGCAGAGTTGTTTGAACATACCTCCTGTACAGTGTGGAGAGATGACTCAGCAGCTAAGAGCACTTGTTGCTTTTGCAGAGGACCCAGGTTCAGCTCCCAACACCCACATGATGGCTCACAACCGGTGACGCCAGTTCCAGGGGATCCATGCCCTCTTCTTTGGGCACCCGGCACCCATGTGGTATACATACAAGTAATACAGGTAAAATACCATGCACACAGCCAGGGATGGCGCTGCATGAGTTTAATCCCAGTACTTGGGAGGCAGAGACTGGCAGATTTTTATGAATTTGAGGCTAGCCTGGTCTACAAAGTGGATTCCAGGACAGCCAGGGCTGTTACACAGAGAAGCTTTGTTTCATAAAACAAAGCAACAAAACAAGACCAACACCTCAACCCCCAACCCCACCAAAAAAAGAGAAAGAAAGGAAACCCCATGCATATAAAATAAATTTTTTTTTTTAAGGCAGCGTCCTATTCCTTTTCCCTTAAAGCCCTGGCAGTTTTTCTTTCTTTTAAATCAATCTTTTGAATTTACACACACACACACACACACACACATGCATACACGCACGCACGAGTAAGTAAGTGTGTGTGCGTGTGTGTGTGTGTGTGTGTGTGTGTGTGTGTGTGAGAGAGAGAGAGAGAGAGAGAGAGAGAGAGAGAGAGAGAGAGATCATCAGAGGACAACTTGAGGGAGTCAGTTTTCTCTTTCCATTCTGTGGATTTCAGGGGTCCAAGTCTGTTGAGGCTGTGAAGCTTGTTTTTGCTGGTGTCTTTACCCCTCCAGCCACCTGCTAGCCCAGTGACTTCTCCTTATGCTGTCAGTGGGAGGACTAGATCTGTTAGTCGCTGGTATGGAACCATTTAAACAAAGCACAAAAGCCTCCGATATAATATACACGTATCCTAGTTTAGAATTATCAGCAAGAATAATTACACAGTGTGTGCTACTGTTATCACTGTTTCTCTCCTTAAAGATCAGAAACAGCGGTGAATTATTTATTGTCATACAGTGAAAAGCACCGAGGAGTTTGTTGGGGTGAGTGGAGTATCACACAGCTGTGGCAGTGGCAAGTGGCTAATGTTCAGCTGGAAAAATCAACCCTATAAGAAAATAACAAGCTCCTGGGTGTAGGAGGGTGATGGAAAGGCAGCCTGCAGTCTGTAGTTCTTGCCGCAGGTCACGGCTAGGATTAGGGTTCTGGGCCTTGCCTGTGACCTAGGTCAAAGTAATAGCTGTAACTCCTTTACTAATAGGGTGTCATGGGCCAAGCTAGAGGCGGCGCCTCCTGGAGTTTCCAGTCCCTGACCAAGGGTCTTCAAAACTGCTTGAATCCTTCCACACCAGGGCACAGGCCACTGTTGGCCACCTAGCCCTCCCCACTGGCTTCTGTCTATCAGCTGTCTTTCTTGGCTTTTTCACAACTCTGGCCTCGCTTCGGCTTCCCTGGGAGTGCACCCGCCTACGCCTGGCGTCCCCAGACCAGTTCCCAAGCTCTGCCACTGCAGCAGCGGTCACGTGCGAGAGTCTGGAGGGGAGCCAAAAGAAAGGAGGAATGGGTGGGGCCGTTCCTTGGGGGCCACACCCCCCACACTCAAGACATTTTCTCATTGGCGGAGGTTTGGAGGTGCCGCTTTGGATTGGTCGGTAGGCGTGGCCTCGGAGAACGGAAGGGAGGGCTGCCTCTGGAGAGGGTTGCCGGGCGGACAGCGGGAACGCGCTCCGGGGGTGGGGACGCGAGAGCTCACGACTGCTCAATGACAAATCGACTGGGGACAGCTGGGGTCCGGCCCCAGGACGGGGCGGGGCGCCCGTGAGAGCGGCGATTCTGGTTGTGCGCATAACCAGTGCGGCGGTGGGACGGCTCCCCCAGGTAAGGATGCGTGCCTCGCAGGGGACCGCAAAAGCGGGGTGCGCCCTGGAATGGGGAAGTGAGTGCGCTCCCCGCGCGATCGCGGGCCTCATAGTTCCACGTTAGGAGGGAGGGACACGTCTCCTGAAGAAGGACGACGCCCCGGACCGCGCCCCGCTTGGCTTGAGAGGTGTCTTTTGGGAAAGCTGGAGGGCCTCCCAGCCGGATCTGGGGGTGCTGAGGACAAGGGGGAGGCGCCCCAGTTTCTCTTCCCTTGCTGCCTGTCCTTCCCTTTTTCCACAAATGGCCACTTCCTGCCTTTTCAGGCCTCCCGCCTGAGTCGGTCCACTTCCTCAGTCCCTTTCAGATCGATAAAATGTTGCCCAAACTTCTTTCTTAAAGGTCGGAACTTGTACTTTGGGTGACCTGGAGGCTGGGTTCAAGAAGTTTGTGGAGGCTTGTTGGTTGTGAATTACTTTTTGGTTCTGTCTTCCAGTTGCCTTTCGGAGCGTGACTAGCATCAGAGGTGATTTCTAGAAACACGGTGGCTTGAAGGGTTTTCCTGACCCGGTTCTCTGAGCTAAGTCAGATCGCAGCTCAGACTTACGCGTGGCTCAGACTTGTGTGTCCCAGAGGGCGCAACACCCATAGCGGGGTCCTTCCTCCCACTGTGTTCATTTCCAAGTGAATCCCGGAACCTAGGGACTTTGACGTTACCCGGGTGTTCTGGAAGAGGATCTGGAGTGGACTGATTGTTCTTACCGTCACTTGCATTTCCTGACCGCTTTTCTGAAGTTTGGGGGATACTGAGTGATCAAGGCTTATCCTCGGAGGGGCAGGGCTTCGAATGTGCAAGTGAAGGTTGCTTTAATCAGAGCAAGAATCTCGCATGTTAATCTCAGAACGTGTCAAAGTTATGCCGCTTAAGACTGGACTGTGGTCGTGAAGTTGTGAGACTCTGGGGGTCCATGAAGGGAGAATATTGAGAAGGAGGTGTGAGCCAAGGTTGTACCTGGTTTTAGAACTCTGTATGTATGAGACATGGTGTTTTGTAGCCCAAGCTGGTTTGGAACTTGATATGTAACTAGAGTGACCTTGAACTTGTGATGTTCCTGCCTCTACCCCTTGAGTGCTGTGATAACTGTATTCTACCGTGTCTGGTCCATGCAGTGGTGGGGATGGAACCCTGGGCTTCCTATATGCTCAAGAACTCTACCAACTGAGCCAAATCCCCAGCCTGGTTCTGGAATTTTCTTAGTGATGTGGTCTAGAGGAGGCCCTTTGTCTTCTCTGAGCTGTAGCATCAATGTAGCTATGAAAGAGTCGATCACCACCCCCACTGTCAGCTTCCAATCCAGTAGGCAGTGTTTAAGGTGTGGGAGTTGGGGGTGGTCATGAAATGCCCCCTACCTCAGAGTCTCATGTAGTAAAGCATTGGCCACCGTCCTGTGAAGCTATTGGGAGCTGGCAGGGGGATAGTCTCTCCGGGCCCTTACAGAGAATATGGAGATTCTGTCCGCTTCATGACTTTGCTTCTTGTCTACCAAGATGTAAAGACAGCTTCCTCTGTCATGCAATCCCTCCATGATATAACCCCAAAGCAAAAAACTAATATGCCATGGCTGAAGCTGTGATATGTGTGTGTGTATGTATGAGTGTATGTGGATATGTGTGGATATGTATGTATTCTTGTATTTTTATTTCTATGTGAATATGCATATATATGAACGTATGTATGTATTTTTTAGATTTATTTTTATGTGTATGTGGGTGGGGGGAGGACCACGCAGGTGTCCTTGGAACCCGTAAGAGGGCATGGATGGGACCCCCTGGAGATGGAGTTACAATTATGAGCTGCCCCGTATGGGCGCTGGGAACCAAGCAGCCTCTGGAAGAGTAGCACACGCTCCTAACTGCTGAGCCATCTCTCCAAACCCCACTAGGTTATTTATTAGTGAGTGTGTGTTTGTGTGTGTGTGCGTGTGCGTGTACTAGGATGTGCTAGGAGTTGCACAGGACCTTGTGCTCGGCTAAGCACCACCCCCATCCCCAGGGATGCTCCTCGCTCCTCCCCTTCCTTTCCAGTTACTTACTTCCCACTGGAAACAGCAGCTGCTCTTATCTGAGATCCCAGCACGGTTTTACTGTGCCTGAGGAGCTGTTGTTCCCAGACTCTGGAAAAAGTGTGGGTGTGAGTTACTAGATAGCTTTTGGAAAATAGGACCTAGACACATAAGGATAGAAACATGAGAATTGGAACCTTAAATGGAGTCTGGAGAGTGTTTGGTGGATGTTGGAGGAATTAGAGGTGTTCTCAGTCTGTTTGTTTGATTTGGTGCTGGGGATGCAGCCTCAGATTTGTTAAGTTTTAGGCCATGGAGATGGCTCAGTGATTAAAGCAGTTGCCTTACAAGAGTAAGGACTGGAGCCTGGATCCCCAGAGCCCAAGTAAATGCCTGGTGGGCACTGCAGCCTGCCTGTAATTCCAGCATGGAAAGGTGGCTCTCTGGAAAAAGTGGGCTAGCTCAGAGACACGTCGTGCCAGTGAGCTCTGGGTTTTATTGAGGGTGACTCTTGATATCAGCTTCAGCCCCGATGTGCATGTGCACACAATTGCAAAGCACCTACAGCACAAGCAGATGTGGACGCACACCTGTGTACACTTCAGACACAAAGAATGGAAGAAAGCTATCATCGTTATTGCCTTGAAGTTCTTCAAGGTTCCTGCCTTGGGGATGATGGCTCAAGGCTCCATAAAAAGTTTGAACCCGGGGAGTTTGTGCTGTGTCCTCCTATCATAGTGAACCTCTCTAAAGTCTGTGACCAAACTCCCCCATTCATCTCATTTCTAAATGTGGGAACCATTGTTTGGAGACTTTGTCTGAAGCTGCAGTTGGAAACGAAGTAACAACCAGAGCTATTCGGTTGGAACTTTGTGAACGGGAAGGTCTCCAGTAAGACAAAATACAAGGACCCATGCCCTAAGCAAACACTCTACCACAGAGCTATTCCCCACTAGTACAGGAGTCTCCCATGTGTGTGTCTGTGTGTGTGTGGATAATTACTTCTGAACAGCATCTGCTGTTAGATGGGCAAGAAATTTTCTTTTTTTTTTAAATTTAATTTTACATGTGTTTTTATGTGTATGCGTGTGCCTGTGTCTGTTTATGTGTCCCACGTGTGTGCAGGAGTCAAAAGAGGTCAGAACAGGACTTCAGATCCCTTGAGGTGAGAGAGGTGGATTTGAGTCACCGTGTGGGTGCTGAGAACCAAACCCAGGAACCTCTGGGAGAGCAACCAGATCTCTTAACCACTGAGCCATCTTTTCAGGCACAACTGTATGCCTGTGTGAACTTCTGTCCCTCCTACTTACTCAGTGCTGGGATAACAAGGGTGCACCTCCATACATGGTCTGTACAGTGCTGAGGACTAAAGGATAACAAGGGTGCACCTCCATACATGGTCTATACAGTGCTGAGGACTGAAGGATAACAAGGGTGCACCTCCATACATGGTCTGTACAGTGCTGAGGACTGAAGGATAACAAGGGTGCACCTCCATACATGGTCTGTACAGTGCTGAGGACTGAAGGATAACAAGGGTGCACCTCCATACATGGTCTGTACAGTGCTGAGGACTGAACCCGGACCTTCATGCATGCTAGCCTCACACTCTGTGACTGAGTCACATCCAGACTGCCACAGGCCTTCTCAAAGACTAGTGTCCATTGTTTGTTTGTTTTTTAAAAGGTTTTCTGTTTGTGTGTTTTTGTTTTGAGACAGGGTCTCTCATGTAGCCCTGGCTATCCTGGGAACTCACTATGTGGACCAGGCTGGTCTCTGAGTTAGAGATCCGCCTGCCTCTGCCTCCCAAGTGCTGGGGTTAAAGGCATGCGCCACCACCTCCCGGCCTTACCTAGCTTCTTTATAAACACGTTTTAGACTAGATGCTACTGAAGTGGTTTTTGTTAGGGTGCCTCCTAGCATGTGGGTACTGTAGAGGATAAAGACACATCTTGGGTTCCTGCTGTTCTAGAAACTTCCACAGTATACTTCAAATTCCATGTTCTTCTTGTGCTTCATTGTTAGATGCTAGAATTAATCAGCCAAATATGCAATAGCTTTAAAAATTAGAAATTTAAATCTTGCTGTTACTCCAAACCAAATAGAACACAGAGATTCTTTTAGATCAACTCTAAAACACATTGGTGGAAAAAAAATGATACAGTGATCTCCATTGTGAGCAGCTTAAAATGATTATCGGTCTGTGTAGATTTTAAAAGACAAGTATCTGTTTGTGTGCATGGGCAGCGTGTGTACTCATATGTGTAGAAGTCAGAGGACAATTTGGGTCCTCTCTCTCTGACCACATGAATCCCAGAGATAGAACTCTGGTCGCTAGGCTGAACCATCTCACCTGTCCTTCTGCCTCACTATTTTTTAAAATTTAATTTCGTGCACAGCCTGATGATCTATTTGGACTGTTGAATTTGCCTCTTTTGATGATGCTCTTGAGAGCATCTGCCAGGACATTCATGGTGACATCATGGGAAGATGGTGGAAAGAGGGGTGTTTAATTTTATATTTGAGACGGCATCACTCTGTGTAATCCTGGCTTTCTTGGAGCTCACTATATAGACCAGGCTGGCCTGGCATTCACAGAGGTCTGCCTGCCTCTGCTTCCCAGATGCTGGATTAAAAATGCTCAACACTATGCCCAATCTCCTTCCGTTTTGAGATATGGTCTCTAATTGAAGCTGAGGCTTGCCCATTCTGCTAGACTGGCTGGCTAGTGAGCCCCAAGGATTGTCCTGTCTTTACCTCTTCTATTGAGATTGCAGACATGTCACAACACTGTCTACATGGGTCCTAGGGATCTGAAGCCAGAGCTTCATGCTTGCACAGCAGGTGTTTTATCCACTGTAGTGTCTTCCCAGCCCTGTCCTCTGGTCTTATCGCACACGGGCTCTGCCTCTGTCTATGCATGACTACAATGTCTGCTTGCTATGCTACTTCTGTTCT